AGCCCAGGACCCCCCACAGCACAGGGTTGGTGGGCAGATGAGGTCATTGCCACAGGAGCAGTGGGGGGGAGGGGTGCGAATATTTGTTTGGTCTTGTTACCATGGAAACTTGCTAGACCCCTCCTCCACTCCACTCACAGTGTGCTGGTTCAGGGGACTACACTGCCCCAGGCCCCAGGCTCCACCCCCACTCTGGCCTGGCCCCACCCAGAATCCAGGGCTGTCAAGGAGCAGCCAGAACGGTCCAAAGAGTGGGGAAAGTGGGGCCCGGGAACCAAGCAGGCCAGGACACTTGTCCCTCGCCTGGGAGCGCAGGTGGACAGGGCAGCCCCAGGCCTGCAGCCCCATCACCCAGAGCTGGGGCCCGGGATGTGCCCCACAGCTGCCTGTGCACTGGACAGTGGGCTCAGAGGCCGCGTCCAGGAGAGGGGCCCTGGCAGTGAACAGGAAGGGGCTCAGGAGAGCACAGGCGGGGGCTGTGGGCAGCCCAGGTGCGGAGGGAGGAGGCAGCTGGAGCGGAGCTGAGCAGCTGGGTGAGGCGGGGCCACAGCGGCCTGGGCCTCCGGGGCCCAGGTGCAGGAGTCCGATGCACTGCCGCTGCCGTCCCATTGGCATGCCCTTTGCCTCGCCTGAGAAACCCCAGGCGGGATGGGATCCCTTTAGACCATGGGACCCCAGAGCAGGGCTGGCAGTGTGCCCCCCAGGATGGGGACGGGGAGGCCCTAATCTGCCTGTGGTCTCCCAGCTTTCAGCCCCCCAGGGCAGCCTCTGTCTCCCATCCTTCAGGGGCTGCTCCCTCAGCACCTGTTGTGCGTCTCTCAGCCAGGCCCTAGGGGGCAGCAAGCACCCTGTTGCATGTTCCCAAATGGTCCCAGGCTCCCCAGGGTCTCATAGTGAGGAGACGCAGCCCTTGCCATGGCCTGGCCTATTGCTGGCCTCACTTTTTCCACCCTGTCTTCTCCCCCTCCTCAGTGCCCCCCCCATTTGTCTCTCCACCTCACCCTCCATCTCTGAAGTCAGCCTGGAAAGGCAGGCAGGATCCAGCTGAATACCTTCTTGTCTGAGACATTACCTAACCGTGCCTTCTTCCCTAATCCCCGGCCATCTCTCGCCTCCCCTCGCTGGCTGGCTGGGCTCCAGCCAGGTTTGCCTCTGGCCACCTGTTCATGCGTCCTGGGCTGCCTCCACACCTGCGAATGGTAGCCAAGGCCAACCGGCTGGAAACGGCTCTGCGGAGCCTCCCAACCTGAGCCCTAAGCCCTGCAGGCTCCTCTCCTCTTTCTCCTCTTCCCATGGGCCCTTGCCAGGAAGCTGGAGGGAAGCCCTGTGCTCTGGAACTTCTTGAGGCCTCTTGCCTGCTTCCCCGCAGACGGGGAACCTCTTGCAGTCTCTGAGGTGTCTCTGTCCACCTGGGAGATGTGGTCAGACAAGGCAGGTCCTCCCTGCCTGCGGGGCTGGGTGAGGCCAACGGGAGCTATTCAGCTAGAGGAGGCCAGAGACAGGGCAGGACGCCATGGCCACCAGGCAAGGAGAGCAGCCAGAAAGGAGAGCGACAGCCCAGCACTTCGCCCTCGCAGTGTGTGCACGCGCACACACATACACACGGGCATCGCAAAGACATGCATGGACACACACACACACAGACACATGCAGTCACACACATGCACACACACATATAGACAGGCGCACAAACCCAGCCCCCTGATGTGCTCACGCACACGCCCACACGCAGACACAAGACCAGCTAGAAGCATAGGGCAGAACCACTCCACACAGGGCCCCAGAATCCAGGGAAGGCCCACGTGTCTGGAGAGGGCTCCTCGGTGGGGGGCCACTTGCCCAGGCAGGAGAGGGCCGGCCCTGGTGGGAGCTCTGCACCAGCCTGTCCTGCCCAGCGGCCCCTGTCCTCTCACACCGGGGACCGGGTGATGGACCGGGGTAGTTTCAGCTATAGGTGCAGTAGCCATTGCCCAGGAAGAATGGCCCCATTCAAGCCACCTGCCTGCTTCCCGGGCAGGTCACAGCCCCTCCCACCAGGACAGAGGCCTGAGACCCCACTCACCCCTCAGAAGCAGTGCCCAGGAGGAGGCCTCAGTAGTACAATAAGGAGGAGCTGGCTCCTAAGGGTCCCCCGAGTGGCGGGGTGCCCCAAGGCTCCTTCAGCCCTGCTACCTTGCTGTCCCCATCCGTCCCTCACCCACCGAGCCCAGTGCCCGGCGGACAGCCTCACAGGGCTGCCTGGTGGCCTTCAGCCTGGCACAGGTCTGGTGCCAGGAGGGGCCCTTCGGCCTCTTCATGGCGGTGTCTGTGGCCTGGAGAGGAGGTGCGGCCGCCTCTGCCTGAGCCCAGAGATGAGGCGGGTAAACCCGCATTTCTCTCCGGGACTAGAGGTGGCAGAGAGGAACCTCCCGGGAGATGCCCTGCCACAGAGGGTCCAGAAAGGCACAGCACAGCTCTGGGCGACACACAAGGTAGTTCAAGAGAAGACAGAGGCCAGCAGTGAGAGTGGAGGGGCCTGGGGACTAGGGACCGATGGGGACTGTGCGTTGTGCTCAGAGCACTCCAGGCCCAGAGCAGGTGGACAGATGGTCCGACGGGCCCTGGTAGGGACCCAGTGCTGTGGGGAGGCGTGAAGACCTTGCCTCCAGAAGAAGCTGCAGGCTCAGAGCCGGAGGGAGAGCAGGGCCCCCTGCAGGCATCCTGAGGGCAGGCTGATGGCCCCCAAACACCCCTGGGGAGGGAGAGGGAGGCAGAGGCTGGGACCCCGTGTGCTGGGAGGTGGGCTGCCCCTCCAGCCTCTCAGAGGCCTCTACCACTGGTTGCCCAAGAACCAGAAGCCTGGTTTCCTAACGGAGAAGGAGGCCTGTGTCCCGCCAGCCTGACCCCGGCAGCAGCTCCCTCCTCCGGCCCAGGACCCACCCCACCCAGGTCTCCACGACTGCCAGGGGTAGAGCTGTGTCCCCCCAAGTTCACTTCCATTTGACTCTCAGGGTGGGATTTAGTTGGAAATGCGGTCTCTGCAGATGCACCTCGTTAATGATCTCCAGATGAGAGCACCCAGATTGTCTGGGGGCCCTGCGTGCCATGCCAGGTGTCCAGACAGGGACGCAGAGAAGCCACATGGTGAGGGAGGAGAGGCAGGGCGGCCGGGGCAGCAGCTGGGGGCAGAGGCGAGAAGGGCCGTCCTCTGGCGCCTGCAGAGGGAGTGTGGCCCTCGGACACCTGCATCTCAGGCTACGTGCCTCGAGGTGGGAGAGACAAGGTCTCCGGGCTCGTGAGGCCCTCCCTGGTGGGCGGCCACGCTGGGAGAGAGGCCGAGCGGGACGTGGCTGGGCACCTGGGACCCAGGGACAGCACCGGGAGAGGGACCCTGCAGACAGTCATGACCAGGGATCTCAGTAGGGTCCTGGCACATGAGCTGTGTCCTCTCCACGTAGGACCAGGATACGCCACCCATCCCAAATATGCGTCCTGCTGGGCTGTGCTTGGGCTGCAGAAAAGATGCAGCTCCCTAAACACTCTCACAGAGTCGAGTCCACCTGACAGGTCCCCATGCCCACCATCCGGCCTCACTCACCTCTCTGTGTCTTCAGCCTCAGCATTCCCACTACATACCTGCTCCCTCATCCCTCAGGTGCCCCTCCCTCAGGTACCCCCTCCCTCATGTCCCCTACCCTCAGGTGCCCCTTCCCTTGTGTCCCCCTCCCTCAGGTGCCCCCTCCCTCAGGTGCCCTCCCTCAGGTGCCCCCTCCCTCAGGTGCCCTCCCTCAGGTGCCCCCTCCCTCAGGTGCTCCCTCCCTCAGGTGCCCCTTCCCTTGTGTCCCCCTCCCTCAGGTGCCCCCTCCCTCAGGTGCCCTCCCTCAGGTGCCCCTTCCCTCAGGTGCCCCCACCCTCAGGTGCCCGCTCCCCCAGGTGCCCCCTCCCTTGTGTCCCCCACCCTCAGGTGCCCCCTCCCTCAGGTGCCCCTCCCTCAGGTCCCCTCCCTCAGGTGCCCCCTCCCTCAGGTCCCCTCCTTCAGGTGCCCCCTCCCTCAGGTGCTCCCTCCCTCAGGTGCTCCCTCCCTCAGGTGCCCCCTCCCTCAGGTGCCCCCTCCCTCGTGTCCTCCTCCCTCAGGTGCCCCCTCCCTCAGGTGCCCTCCCTCAGGTGCCCCTTCCCTCAGGTGCCCCTCCCTCAGGTCCCCTCCCTCAGGTGCCCTCCCTCAGGTGCCCCTTCCCTCAGGTGCCCCCACCCTCAGGTGCCCGCTCCCTCAGGTGCCCCTCCCTCAGGTGCCCCTCCCTCAGGTCCCCTCCCTCAGGTGCCCCTCCCTCAGGTCCCCTCCCTCAGGTGCCCCCTCCCTCAGGTCCCCTCCCTCAGGTGCCCCTCCCTCAGGTGCCCCCTCCCTCAGGTCCCCACCCTCAGGTGCCCGCTCCCTCAGGTGCCCCTCCCTCAGGTGCCCCTCCCTCAGGTCCCCTCCCTCAGGTCCCCTCCCTCAGGTGCCCGCTCCCTCAGGTGCCCCTCCCTCAGGTGCCCCCTCCCTCAGGTCCCCTCCCTCAGGTGCCCCCTCCCTCGTGTCCTCCTCCCTCAGGTGCCCCCTCCCTCAGGTCCCCTCCCTCGTGTCCCCCCCCAGGTCCCCTCCCTCGTGTCTCCCTCCCTCAGGTCCCCCTCCCTCCAGCTCTCCTATCTGAGACTCTCAACCCATAGGTTCACCCAACTGCTCTGAAGTCATTGGACCAAGTGAGGCTATAATTTAAAATACGTTTATTTAGTGTTTCCATTTGTTTCTGGTTGTGTTACACAAAGCTGTTAAATAAATACATTCTCCAAGTCACTCGAGTACACACCTATTCACTATACAGATGAGGTAGAGAAGTGGGCCGGCCGGCAGGAGGGGCGAACACCCAGAAGGAAACCGTCAGGTGCGAAGGCCCCTCACCTCCCGACTTCCGGACCTGGCCAACCACGCCCGGAACCCCCGTCTGCGCGGCTGGTGGGAGCAGGTGGCCGGGACCCGCCTGGCCCTCCGCGCGGCGGCCCGCCCCCCGCGGCCCCTCGCGAGGCTTAGGCCGGGCTCGGGCCCCACTACCGACACGTTTCTTCAGAGATCCTCTGCCACATGAAAGAGAAGCACGTTCAGGAGAGGCTCCGTCAGTGGGAGTTGTTTCTTCACTTAGCAAGACATTCTGATATATATTTATATATAAACAAACCAGCCAGCAGACATTTTCAGTCTGCCTTGTTTAAAAAAATACTTTTCTTATTATTTATGCCATATAGCTAAATGTGGTATTTAATTAAAAATAAAAAAACAAACCAAAAAAACCCCTTCCTCTGACTTGCCACCTTTCCGGACCCAGTAGTGACTGGCTAGTCTTATCACGGGAGCGTGACGCCCCACCCGCTTTGGGCCCCGGCCGGTGGGGATCCACGGGGACAGCCAGGCTGCACCCTCGCTCACCGCCCCCCGCCCTGTCCAGCCAGGCCTGCGGGGAGCGAGGGGCAGGCCCGCGTCTCCTGCCACCGCAGAGTCTGCCTGGCTCCCTTCCAGGATGCGCCTCCACAGCACAGCTATTCACGGGGCGTCCTCTGAACCACAGGAGAATAAACTTTACTATTTACACTATAAAACAGGGACTAAAAGACCCACATCAACATAAATAGGTTTTCTTTTAAAAACACAGTTCCCTGGGGTTCCTGGAGCCCCCCGTGACTCTGAGGAACACCCTAGCTCAGTAGTTCCCGCCTCCACACTGCCTGCACCCTCAGAGCACAGCCACCCAGTCAAGCAGGACGGGCCCAGGGCAGAGGCTCCAGAGCCAAGACTGCCATTCACGTCAATGTGGGAAGGAGAGGCCCATGCTAAGGGAGGGCACAGGGTGGAGGCCACATCCCGGCCCCCACAGACCACACCAACACACACACACGCACAAGCACATGCTCACACATATGCATGCATGCACACACCACCTGTGCTCCCACGTGCGAACACATGCACACAGCACATGTGTGCTTAGATGCATGCACCCATGCGCACACGCGCACACCCACAAACATATGCATGTCCACTCATGCACACACATGCACCCACCATAGATGTGTGCGTGTGCTCACACACATGCATGTGCGCTCGTGCATGCATACACATCACACATGCTCTCACACACAACTCATGTGCACACACTGCACATGCATGTACATATACCACACACCAAGACCAAACCAGGTCCATGTAGACCGTTCTTTTCCCCTTCCGTCAAAGACAAGAGGATGGCCAAGGAACAGCCTTCCGTCTGCCAAATCCTAGCCCCAGACTCCATCACATCCCTTCCCACCCTGCCTCCTCCACAGGAACACAGAGCAAGCAAAGCCTTTCTTGTGACATAAATGCTCCAAGGGGCTGGCCCTGCCCTTCTGCCCACACACAGCCCTTGCCACAGAGACAGGGGCAGGCCAGCCTCTGCCACTCCCGGCCCCAGAATCTGCAATGGAAGCTGGGGTGCAGGGCCGCGTGCCCACAGGCACCTTTCCCAGGGCGGCCCCCGGGGCAGCGACCTGGACCTGACTTTTGGAAGCCCTGAGGGAGGCGGCCAGACACAGCTTACTTTAATTTAGAACAACAACAGCAACGTCTCTCTGGACTTAGTGGTTTCAAACACAAAGCAGATCAGGCAAAGAAGTCTGGGAGTCGGGGTCGTGGAGCAAGGGAGGGGCCCCTCCAGACTGGAAGAGCCACAGCCTGGGACATAGAGGGGGCAGAGAAAATAATTATTATATATTAAATAAAAATAACTTAAAGTCACTGTTATCACTCCAAAGAGAAGTATTTGATGCTGGACGGCGGGGCGACGGCGCCCCCACACCTGGGTGGCTGGCTGCCCCTCTCCTAGTGGTTTGGCTCTCACCAGAGCTGGTGGAGGGCAGCCCACAGGCTGCTGCCGAGGCCCTGGGTGGTCGTGCAGGTGCACCGCGCGCCTCAGAGGGAGCCCAAGCGTTGCGGGGCGCTGTGACCCAGGAACTGGAGTCTAGGGACAGACACAGCCTGGAAAGCATCAGTGCAATGCTGTCAGGTCCCTGGGCGGGACAAGCAGAGGGTACGCAGAGGTCAGACCAGGCCTCTGAGGGGAGACAGAGAGGCGGAGACAGCTCCCCAGCCTGCCCCAGGCTCCTGCCGCCGCCTCCTCCTGCCCCAATGTGCTGGGGGCACCCAGCCTGGGGCTCAGCCTGCAAGGGCAGGCGCCCCCGCTGCACTCGCTGCCCACACCCCCCGGGCAGCCTGGCCGGCGGCGCTAGCCCTTGCAGGTGTAGACCTCCTCCCGCTGCGTGCACTGCCGGCACTCCACGTAGCAGCACCAGCGCACCTGGCACTGGCAGGGCCGTGTCACCACCCGGCTCTGCGTGTTATGGCCACGTCCACAGCAGATGCTCTCGCAGTTCTTCTCGCGGTGGCACCTGCGCCCGGCAGTGCCTGGGGAGAAGCGGCCAGCCAGGCAGAAGCTGGGCGAGTCGTCCAAGTGTACCAGCTCCGGCGTGCGGGGCAGCGGGTCGCCGCCTGTGCCCAAGGCCCGGCCCCTGGGCGGAGAGATGGCGCCCGCCTCGCCCGCAGCCTCGTTGGTGGTGCTGCCCACCTTGAGTGCCGTCTCGTACTTGTACTTTAGGCGCTTGCCCACCTCGTGGAAGGGTGCCAGCTGTCGCCAGCACGTCCGCACGGTACAGGAGCCTGACACACCGTGGCACTTGCATGTGGTTTCCACCCCGGCCTTGATCACCTGGAAGGAGGGAGGCAGGGGGGTGAGCCTGAGGGCTACACCTGGCAAACCAAGACCAGACCCCATGGGTGACCCCAAAGGGGCCCGACCCCAGCACCCACCTCAGGACCAAACCCCATGGCCCCCAGACCCAGGTGCACCTCACACGGCCACCACCCCTCACCATCCAGGCTCCTGGCTTACACACCCCTCCCTCTACCCTCGAGCCCCAGACCACCCGGGACAGCGCCTTACGGCCATCGGCATGGCCCCAGAGTGGCCACCACAGTGCCTGTGGCACTGCGCAGGTGCTCCCTGCCCACGCAGATGTTCCTCCCTGCGTCTGGGGCTGCCCTTGCAAGGGCAGGACAGGCCGCCTCCAGCCCCGCCGCCGTCGGCACCCTATCCGCCAGGACCCAGCAGTCTGCTCTCTGGGGAGTCGCACGCCCAGTGGGCAGGACTGGCCACCGGAGCCTACAACTGAGCGGACCGCGTCCCTGCCTGGGCATTGGGACTTGGTTCACTGCACACGCAGGTGCCACCTGACCGACCCAGAGGTGGGAGGCAGCTGGCCAGGGTGGGAGCCGGTGTGGCCCAGCACCAAGTTCTGCTGAGGCTCTGGGAAGCCTCCCAAGACTCAGGACCCTTCCTCTTCCAGAACTTGGGTGTCACCTGCAAAGCCAGGAAGTCAGGCCAGCGGCCCCACTGAGCCACCTGCCAGACCTGCCCACACAGGGGTCCCCACGGGAGGGATGTGGGAGGAGGGGTAGGGACGCCCTCCCCACCGCCCAAGCCAAGCCAAGCCCGGGCTCCCTAGAAGGCCATCTAAGGGGATCAAGAAACATAGCTGCTCCCTAGTCATGCAACAGAAGGGTCACACTTAATGATACTTTGCTGAGAAACATGGCAAATTTAATTAAAACGCTGCCTACCCAGGCCTGGAGCTAACGGAGCACTTTTCGTATTCTGACTTGCCATTTATAGCTTATAAAAGGCAAGTACAAAGGAAAAGAAAGGCCTTGCCTGGGGGATTTAATCTCCCCACACCCCTCCCCACAGGGCGGAAGGAGGGAAGGGGCTCCGGGGCAAGATGCAGAACTCCAGCTAGTCCAGAACGAGGCTCCGAGTAGCCTGGCTCTCATTACATCCCCTGCCCCCGGCACGGCTCCACATCCCCGGCACCCTGTGCTGGTCCTAGGCAACGGCTGAGCCCGGGGGCGCTGGGTGACCCGGGCGGCTGGGGTACTAAGGGCCTGGTGCTCGTTCCATGCACACGAGGACCAGGGGTACGGGCCTGACCCTACTCCAGTGTTGGGCGCTGGGGAGCTGAGCGACTGCAGGGAGGGCGAAGGGCGGCAGGAGTGAGGTCCCCCCAAGCCCGGCCGTGCTCGCGGCCAGTGGCCCCCAGAAGGGCCCCACCCAAAATGCCATCCCTTCCTTTTCCTGAGTCTTCTGAGCTGGGTTCCCGCAGAAGAGAGCCCTGGCCACCGAGGAGACCCCTGAGGCAGAAGGCCCCCCGACACACACACTGGGACCAGCAGCACCCCAGCCCGTCCCCCGGACCCCTGGCCGGCACTCTCCCCAGATTGCCTCCAGCTAGGCCCCTGGTGACAGCACTGCTTGCCCCTCGGCCCTGGCAGGCAGGCTCTCAGTCTGCCGCCCTCCTGGACAGGTGACACTCATCAGAGACCTTCCCAGTGACCTTGGCCACCCAGGGCCAGATGCAGATGGGTCCAGACCCACCTGGCCCCACCCCAGCCAGCAGAGAGGAGGCCTTCCAGCTCCCCCTCTCCATGGGAGGCCAGAGGACACTCTCCATGGGAGGCCATGGGCACCCTCTGTGACAACTAGCAGCTCCAGCTATTTGGCACGCAATGAGCCTTAGATAAGCAAGGAGACTGGAGGACCCCGGCTGGCACCACATGGCTAGAACGAAAGCACAGAGACAGTGGACCCCACGTCCTCCCGGCTCCCCAGCCTTCTCTGAGCCGGGCCTGCCCCCTTCGGCACCGCCAGCACCCCCGCACGGCGGCCCCCCTCCAGCTGGCGCCCCACGCCCGCCCCGCTTGCCTTCACACCCACGAGGTTGTTGTGGAAGTCCACGCGGGCACGCAGGTCTTTGCTCGACCGCCGGCCCAGAAACTCCTTGACGAACTTGCTGCTGTACTTGAGGTTGTCCCCGCAGCCGCCCCACTGCCAGGCCTCGCGGTTCTCCAGGTCAGGCGCCTCGTCACAGGTGCAGCGCTCCATGCGGCCTGCGCTGCAGGCCTTGGCCAGCGCGTGCGTGAGGCCGGCTGAGGAGATGGCGTAGAGGAAAGCCGTCTCCTTGAAGCCTGGGGAGGCAGCAGGGCTGGTCAGCAGTGAGACAGCAGCAGCCCCCGTCACTTTCTGCAGCCGAACCGCAGCGTTGCAGATGAAGCCCTGGGTCCCTGACTGCGGGCCAGATGCCTCCCTGACCCATTTGGGCTGCAGGGAGGGGAGGACACCTGCCCGGGCTGACGGTGGACCTGGGGGTACAGTGGGGCAGGGAGGGCCCGGGGTGCTGGGGCTCGGTGCTGCGTGGCAATCAGAGACCCCATTCATCAGGGTCCCGTTCCCCCGCCCACCGGAACGGCCCTGGGCCTGAAGTGCCGGCTTTTAAATGAGAGTCCCCAGCAGGTCCTATGGGTGGAGACACAAGAGACGAGGTGAAGCTCTATGCTGGGGCACCAGCCGGACCTCTACCAGCACCGGGCCTTGGCCACAGGCATGTGGCAAAAGCCACCAGAGCTACCTGGGGCCCTGTCAAAGCTGCCACAGGCTCCTAGCCCTGCCAGCAACAGTCCAGGCTCTTGCGTGGGGACAGGGCAGGAGGACGGGTGGGGGCAGAAGGACGGGGACGGGGGATGGGGCGTTGGGAGGGGCAGCAGGTTGCGGGTGGGGCCGAGGCAGTTGGGAGGGGCGGGGCAGGAGTTCTCTCCAGAGTCTTCTAGGCCCCAGCTCCTCTCCCTTGACCGGGGACCCCTCCTACGGTGCACCAAGGGTTGGTGCCTTGGGCCCCCACCGCTGTTGCCCCGCCTCCAGTGCCGCGCACCTCGCTTGAGCAGGCTGGCCCGGTAGCGGCCTTCCAGGGTGCAGTTCCAGCGCTCGAAGCGGAACTGGTACTGACACTCCAGGGCGCTCATGCTGACCGCCTCCACCAGAGTCTCGGCCACGCCCGGGTCCCGGCGGCACATGCGCCTCTGCTTCCGCTCCAGCTTCAGGCGATCACAGGCCTTGTAGTGCGCCTGCGCGGCAGCCTCAGGCTCCAGGGTCAGCGGGAGGATGGTCAGGGGCTCGCTGCCGGTCAGCCTGTGCAGAGAGGCCAGGGTGAGCACCGCCCCTGATGACGAGCCTCTGCACACACCCCCGGCCTTGAGGGCTCAGGAAGCACACGTGCCACCCCAGCCTCCTGCCTGCTTACCCAGCTGGAGGAACCCTGCTCCTGGACGTCCACGGCCGCCATCTCCCACTGGCGGGGCATTTGGGAGGGTCCTAGCACACTCCTTGCCCTCCAACAGCCTGTGCAGTGGTCCCTGGGTCCCAAGAGACCTCCCGACATGCTGCACCAGAGCAGACCTCCCAGCCCAGGACCCGGAGGCCCCTGGGAAAACCGCAGCTTCTTCTGCAGAGCCACCCAAGTCCCGGCCCACACGGTCTGCAGCCTGCCCTCTGGCCTGTGGCGCTCCCTGCCACCTACCCGCCTGCCCCACCCCCGACTGGCTCCGTCCACAGACGGACAGTCCTGGCCTCCCGTCTGCCATGGCCTCAGTGCCCCCAGATAGACAACTGCTCATCTGGACCCCAGGCATGTCCATGCACAGCCACACGCAGGCCTCAGCCCTTGGGAGGGCAAGAGGCCCACATGCATGGGGCAGGGCTCAGGACCCCCATTCAAGCACCTTGGAAGAACCGTGGTCCCTCACCACACACCACCCTCCCTCCTGCTGCTTCTGGAAAGGCCGTTGAGGGGTACAGTGGCCACAAGGCTGCCTCCCAGAGCCACAACTTTCTGCAGGAGAAGGATGTGGTGGGCCCTCCTAGAATCCGCCCTGTAGGAGACCCTAACACTGATGCTCCTTTGGGGACAAGCCAGGTCTGGCTCTCAAAGCTCCCCTGCCCCCCACTCCCTTCCAGGGCTGCCCCATACATACCTCAGCATGGCCTTTGCCAGGCCTTGCCTGGGTGGGGACATCTACCCTTCTGAGGGCCCAGCGGGGCCCCCAGATCCTGAAAGGGCAGGGCCTGCCTCATGCGTTCTGATCAGCTTTCTGCGGGCAGGAGGCCCAGCGGGGAGCCAGGCCACACAGAGGGGCGCAGGCCCCAGGGCACAAAGGGGAGTGACGGGCAGGCAGGCAGGAGGGAGGTGCCTCTGGAGGCTGAGGCGACAGCGGAAGGCCCCAGACCAAGGGTGCACCGCACGCCTCCCCCCCAACTCCAGCTCCATGAGAAGACCCAGCCAGGCCTGGCCCCCCCTCCCCCATAAGCTCATCAGAGCAGAGCCCCGGCGGTGTCCCCACCAGCTCCAATCCCTGCAGACCTCACGGCAGGGCCTGCTCTCCTCTGAACGCTGTTCTGAGCCAGGGCTGCCCTTGCTTCCCACCCCCATGCAGAGTGGGAGGCCAGCATGGACGCTGGCTAGGGGAGGGCCCCAAAGGTTCCTGCGGCTCAGGAGGGGCCCGGAGTGGGTGGCCCAGAGCTGCAGATAGAGAGGCGTCAAGCCCTTAGAGGAGAAGGTGCCTGTGAGCTCAAGCTGGGACTCTGCCCTAGAGAAAAGGCGGTGAGGGGGGCGGCGAGCCGGTGAGCCCATGGCCTGCACCCCGGGTGCCACCGCAGGGGGTAGGGCTTCGTGCCTAAGGGCACAGGGACACAGCAGCGACTGCCCTGGGCGGCCTCACAGACTTCCAGGCCTCCTGCCCAAAGACAGCTGCCGGGGCAGACGGGGAACAGGCAGGGGCCCGTGGACCTCAAGCTTAAGGCTAGAAAAACCACGCTCCCCACACAAAAGCAGCTCACACAGTGGAGATTGTCCCCAGACAGGAATGTCAACAGCTGTGCCCAGAACGAGTGCCAGGCAGCAGAAACCCTGCAGCCTCCAACTTGCACGAGATTAACCAAGCTCCAGGCGGTGCCAAAACATTCCAGCATCCAAGAGGACCCCCTAAGGCGGGGCCAACGCGGGGGAACCTAGGGCCAGCCAAGGAAGTGCAACTGTGAGGGTGAACAAGGAGAGGGGAAGGCGAGTGGGCCACAGAGCCCCCCATCCACACTGCATGCGGAAGAAGGAGGCAGGGGCCCCCAGCAGGGCCGTACCCAGTCCACAGTGCCCATGGCACTAAGGGCAGGTGCCCCCCCATACCCAGAGCCATGCTGCCTCCCAGTCCAGGGAGGCTGAGGACAGGGGTCCCCCATACTCAGGGCCCCCTCATCCACACTGCATACGAGGTCAAGAACAGGGGTGCCCCTAACACCCAGGGCCGACTGTGTCCATACCGCACATTCAGGCCGCGGGCAGAGCTCCCGCACCCCTGCAGCTGGCGTGAGGCTGGAACCCTGATACAGTTACACTGTTCTGCTCCTATGGCGGCTGCTCCCCTACTCTCCCACACCAGCACCCAGACAGTCCCTGCCCCGGACCCCTAAGCTGTCGGGGGTGTTCAGCGTGTGGCCTGCCTCAGGGCTCACAGCCTGGGGTGCGAGGACAGGCCCTTACAGAGGTGTCGGGCGGCAAGAGAAGTGGGCAGACGGCGTCCGGGGAGCAGGGAGAAGAGGCCCAGCGACCGCAGCCAGGGACCCAGACGCAGGGGGAGGAAGGAAAGAGGAGAGGTTTACAGGACACGCCTCGACTTGGGCGGGCTTTTTTCAGAGTGACTCAGAATCCAGAAGACCTTGAGAAAGTAATAAATTTGACTTTAAAAATACAAGACTCTCTGCATAGTGAAAAAGTAAGATAGTTTTAAAAAACAATGAACAAGAGTCGGGGTAAATGTTGCAACTCGGGTCCCAGACCAAGGGCCAGCTTCCTCTGCCTGCGTGCTGTGCGTGTGCCCCTGTGAGTGTGTGTCATTTCCTTAAAATCAGTAATAAAAGGAGTCAGCTGCAGAGGGCACAAGTGCGAACTTACAGATCAAAGGAAGGAAATTTAGCTGCTGCTCAAACTTAGGTTCCACCCCAAAGGAACACAAAACAAAAATATATTGACACGTTATTTCGCATTCACCAGATGAGCGCACATCTGATAAGATTATGGTCAAGGATGAGGGGAGGGAGGGGTCCCTCTGTGGCTGGAATTCTGGACTGATGGATTTATAAAAATTCACCCCCCAATTCTCTTCCTAGGAACACAGGCTACAGATATGTTATCTTAAAACACACATGCATTCGTCACTCGCACGTTCTCCAACTCGGCGCTGCCACCTCCGGCGCGGGGAGTGCTCTCCGTTACGCAGTCGTCCGCCGTATCTGCAGGAACACGTTCCGAGGCCCTCGGTGGAGTCCTAAACCTGTGTGTTGTGCCAAACTCATCCTATACTGCGATTTTTCCTATACATACCCACCTACGATAAAGTTTATTTCATAAATGAATCACAGTAAGAGATTAACAACTGATAATAAAGTAGAACAACTGTAACGATATACTGTAATACACATTATGGGAACGTGGTCTCTCTCTCTGATAACCAAGCCGACCGGGACAGGCGCTCAGTGACTAACAGGCGGAGAGAGCCTGCCACCTGGAAACGCTGGACAAAGGGACAAGTTACGTCCCGGGTGGAATGGAGCAGACAGTGTGAGATTTCATCATGCTACTCAGAACACCATGCAACTTAAAACTTATGAATTACCTCTGGAATTTTCCATTTAATATTTCTGATCACGGGAAACTGGAACTGCATAAAGCAAAACTGAGTGCGAGTCTGGGGGCTACTGTACGAAGGACTGGAGACGGGCTGGCCGCCTGGATGGCCGCTCCGTGGCCTACTCAGCCTGCCGGCCTCAGCGCTGCATGTCGTGTCTGTGGGTGCAGGGGCGACCCAGGACCCAGGGGGCCTGGGGCCCAGGAAACACTCCTCTCTCCTCCCTGTGGCCTGTGAGCTTCTCATCTGTTATCCTGCGCGTGTGTGACCTATCCAGAACAACACTCGGCATACAGCAGGTGGCAGAGGCGAGCCCCTCGCCCCCCCCCACCCAAGTGCAGGCTCTCAGCCCTGCACACTGGCCTGGCAAGGAACCTGTGCCCACTCTACCTGCCTTGGGGGCTGTGCCTTCCAGCCCCGAAAGTGGCCCAGGCCACCTGGCATAGCAGAGGCCGCAGCTCAGCCGCCCAGCTGCTCATCGCAGCTGCTGCCCTCACCCCCACCCCAAGCAAACGTCCGGGCAAGGGTGGATGAGCCCACAGGCCTGCACAGGCTGTCCATGGAGGCAGCGAGCCTGGGCAGGCTGCCCACAGGGGGTAGCCCCTTGAGAAGCGGCAGCACCCCCCGCAGCCTGCTTCGTCGGGCTGCCGCCCCCCACCGTGCTGAGCCCGCTTCCCAGGAAGCAACAGCAGTGAGGTTGAAGTGCACTTCACCACATTCAGGCATTTTCCTTTAATCTTTAACATTCTCCTAAGATACAGGATGTCCAGGCAAGTGTAGAAGCAGCTCTAACTCAAGAAAACAGCAAACATTTAAAGAAAAATTAATATGTATCCTTCTTAAACTATTGTAAAAATTGAAGAGGAAGGAAATGCTTCCAAGCGCATTTTATGAAGCCAGCTTTACCTTGATATCAAAATCAGATAAAGACACTACCAAAAAGAGAGAGACAGGCTGGGGAGGGTGGGGGAGGGTGAAATGAGAATTACAGGCCGATATCCTTGATGAACACAGATGCAAAAATTCTCAACCAAATATTAGCAAACTGGATTCAAGAGCGCATTAAAAGGATGATACACCGTGACTAACTAAAGTGGGAGTCATACCAGGGATGCAAGGGTGGTTCAACATCTATAAATCAATTAATACAACACATCACATTAACAAAATAAAAGATAAAAACCATCATCTTAATAGATGCAGAAAAAGCATTTGACAAAATTCAACATCCTATTATGACAAAAACTCTCAACAAAGTGGGAATAAAAGGAACATATTTCATTATAAAGGCCGTATGTGACAAACTCACAACTAACATCATACTCAATGGTGAAAAGCTAAAAGCATTTTCCTCATGGTTGAGAACAAGACAGGGATGACCACTTTCACCACTTTTATTCAACATAGTACTGGAAGCCCTAGCCACAACAATAAGACAAGAAAAAGAAATAAGAT